GAGAGACACCCACAAGGGTAGCAAGTGAGATAAACTCTTGAAAGGGGATCACCTGGCTGATGGTGGGAAAACTTAGTGTGAAATGGTGCCTTTCTGGTCTCTCTGAGTGTCCTTCATCAGGAATTGTAGGTGCTGAGCCCCCACACAAAACACACAACATTGCATTGTACAGCCAGTGCCCCCTCCCCATATACAAGGGCCTACAAAGGGACAGTTCTGCCTTCTTCAGTCCACCTCCCACCTCCAGGGAAGAGTGTTGGGGTGGGTTGTGGGGGTGAGAGTGCCTTCGAAAGAAGTGCAGCATGCTTTGTTTCTCCTACCCTCAGAAGAAAGCTGACAGCTCTCCCCAGCTCAAACCAATTAAAAGAGAATCACCTGAACTGTTACCGTGTGTCTCCTGGGTTTGAGGGGTCCAGAGATGGGACCCTGACTCTCACTTGGAAAACCTTAAGGCCAACACTGACTGGCAGCGCTGCCAAGAATAAAGGAGGGTAAGGAGGCAGTGGAGGGGGCCACACGCCCACTGATGGTGGACAGAAGGCTGAGGTGTTTCTGTGGGCCACAGTGGACACCTAGACACACCTGTCCCAAGACAGCAACTAAATTTGTTAATAAATTAAATGAGACCACCTATTGTGCCTGCCTCCCAGATGCTCTATGAGAACATGTTCGGTGAAGTGTATTACCATGTTCCCGGGTAAACTATTCACCTCTTCACTGAGCAGATCCCTCAATACAGACATAATAAAAAAAAGATACTCTAGAAGAAACTCCTAATGCAGATTCTAATTCAACTTCTGTGGCTCTACTATTTTCATTTTTTATGGTGAGTAAATGCCTCTCTCTGCCCCAAATAAGGGTCTAGTATGACAAAAGATCATAGCTTAGTTATAGTTGTACCAATTCAGAGCCACATCCACCTCATGCATCCAATAGAGACTTGGACCACTGGCATTTGAGTTCCCCTCCGATTCTAATACGCCAGGACTGTGGTCATTCATGCCCCTTGACAACTCACCTGGAACTCCTCCTTCATCAATTGGACTGTCGTTCTGTCCCCTCAAGAGGCTCACGGGTGGATTATGTCTATGTGGACATAGTAGAATAAGTCCATGTCAGTCTTCAGCCCATTCAGAATGTCAAATTCTGTAACTAGATCTCCACTGGCATCAAACGTGATCTCTCTCCCATCAGGAGTCTTGAATTGCACCTTCATGAGGGGATGAAGAAGCTGGGGAAAGGAAGGGCGAGATTGTAAATTGGCTAGTGCCAGTCCCTGGGGTTTGCCCAAAATGCCTCAGGACATTGGCCACTGGGATGAGCAGCACTGATGGTGGACTGAAGGCCAAAGTGTTTCTGTGGGCCATGGTGGACACCGAGACACACATGTCCCAAGACATCAACTAAATTTGTTAGTAAATGAAATGAGACCACCTATTGTGCCCGCCTCCTAGATGCTCTATGGGAACATGTTTGGTGAAGTGCATTGCTATCTTCCTGGGTAAACTTATTCATTAGGCACAGAAGGCATAGGGCCTGTGATATTTGCAATGCCTTATGAAAATGTTCCAATTTTAGTTTCTTGTAAAATAAAAAATAAATAAATAAAGTAATAATGAATATATAATACTAAAGCCAGTCCAGATTATATTCATCTTTATACCAAGATGCTCATAAAATTGAATTTTTAATATTTTTTTAATGAAGGAAGGAATCCACAAAAGTCATGGTGTGGCTTTGTTTCCAGGGACTCTGGCTGTGTACTCTCATCCTCAGGCTTTCCATCACACTTTGAGTGATGGCCAGACACTGGCAGGGCCTACACAGACTGGTCCTTGATCACCTAAACATCCTGATCCCTTGGCTGAGTCTCTCCCACTCACTCTGCACCGGCCACATGGATATTCTTGCTCATTCCCATGCTAGGGCCTTTGCATATGCTGTTCCTACCACCTGCAATGCCAACACTCTTTTCCCATGGTTGGTTCCTTTTCATCTTTCAGGCTGAAGCTCAGATGTCTCCTCAGAAGGATCACTTCCCTGACCTTCCTATTCCCTTCAATCACACTCCACCACTTCATCCACTCTTAGTCTTCTTTACAGTACACAATATAGACATAGCACTACTTGTGTATTTTTAATATATCTCCCCCTACAAAAAAGCCAACATCATTTCCCATCCTCTTCACAACCATGTGTATCTTCTGTCTTTACAGTGGCACCTGGCACATAGTATAGGCCCAGGAAATCTGAGTGAAGTTCATGACAGCATCTCTCTTCCTTGGTCTCAGTCCTCCACAATAAACTCACTAGCTAACAGCTGTGTCCCTTGAGAGATCCCTTTTTAATTCTGGGTCTTAGATTTTTCACCTGTACCTTGAGTGAGCTGAAGAAGGTGCCTTCTCGGCTTGATGATAAAAGTTATAAATCCAAAACTTTCTAGACATTTATGCTACTTGTCATGGGCCAGGAGCCTGGCTTTAAAAAGGCTAGAGTACCCACCAACTTCTGGGCTCTGTAGAAATGGTCAAAGAGGACCCCTACCTATGAGACTTCCTCTAAGAATGGCTAGGTAGATCAAATGGCATATCATGGTGGGGAAGTTGGATGGAAGAACCCACAGGCCAAGAATTAAGTGTATTCAAGGCATTTAATAGAAGGTGTATCGAGGCATATCTATGTGGTTAGCAATGATGGGTAAGGCCTCTAAAATACTAGTAGAGAAAATATGTCTGATAGGATATGTCTTTGTCTATAATGCTAAGGGAGAAGATGGACAAGGGGACTCCTGAGTTCTCACATTCCTGGGACCTTCACAGTAGTATTGGTCAGGAGCACAACAGGCTTCAACCAGAAGAGCAGAAGGCCCTTCCAACACAGACATGGGGAGGCTCCACTCTGAGAAGCCTTATTTGGACTATGACCTCCTCATATCAGTAAAATGACAATGAGAAATTCACATGATAGGACTACCTATCAGATGAAGTACAGATCATCCAGTTAAGTTGGAATTTCAGAAAAATAACAAATGCAATATTTGAGACATACGTACACTAAAAAATTATTTGTTGTTCCTTTGAAATTCACATATAACCAAATGCTCTGTATTTGTTTCAGTGAAATCTAGCAACTCTATGTGTAAATGAAGTGTTCAACAACCGAGGAAATAATTTTCTCACCAGCTCCTTCTCAGAGGAGAGGTTGGGGTGTTGATCACCCCTGGAGAGCATTGTGGGCAGGCATCTGTCATGAACCTTTTGCTTCCACTGACAGGTTCATGATCACCCACTTGTTTTTTTTTTTTTAAAGATGACCAGTAAGGGGATCTTAACCCTTGACTTGGTGTTGTC